TATGACAAAGATGAGTGTTTCTGTTGTAGGAATGAATATATATGAGTTTCTCAGACTTGATTGGATCATTGGAATCTGTTTAGATTTGGGGATGGATGACCTCCATCACTTTCCTTGGGTGAAATCACTCTGAGTTGCTGATTGATGGGCTTCAGAATGTCATCATTTCCACCATCAGCTCAGTTCACCTCCACTGATCCGAGCAGGAGAAGCAGCGGCAGGAAATAGCACATGATCAATCGCCGTTGCTTTCCACCACCATCTCAAGCTTAAAAAAAAAAAAGAAAATCTGTTTTAAAACTACATGTTTGCTCATCTCAAAGAGAAGGATTATAGACTGTTAGAAATCAGGGACCATTAAACAACTATTTTCATTTGCAGTGGATTCAGAATATAATTATGTTGAGTTTGGAGGAGATGCGCTGCTGAATGCCAAGTAAACTTCCACCCAACTGGAAAACATCAAGCCTTCCCTGCCCACCCAGCCAGACTTAGATGGTCCTTCTTCCACACTTGTAGCACTTTGCCTCTGTCCTCAGGGGTCCCAGCTTGAGGCAAGGACGTCCTTCCACTGGTAGACACGCTTAGGCAGGTCTGTGAAGGGTCTGCTTTCAGGGGCTACAATGGAGCCTCCTGGGAGACTCTTCAGTCTAGGGCAGGGGGTAGTGAGCACAACCAGAAATTTGAAGGGAGGAGTGATTCCGAGTAATTGATGGATTTGGTTTTCTTGGTGTTTCACACTCTGAAGATGGGGCACGGAGCTGGGGACAGGCAGGAAAGAAGTGTGGGATGATTGTGGGCGAATAAGTTTGGTTGGTAGAATAGGGAATTGGTTTCACTTTAAAATCACCTTAAGACTTTGGAGCAAAAGGCAATGTCTTTGGAAATATCTGGAAAGCTGCACAGAGCACAGCTGAACTTGAGTACCTCAGGCTGCCAGCTCAGGCAACAGAGGTGCCCCGTGGGAGTTGAGGTGCCCCCCCCCCCCCCACCAAGGCAGCCATTGCTTCAAGATGGCTCCTCAGAAGCAAGTGAGGAAACCGTGATACCCCTCTCCAGAGTCTAGCGGGCAACAAACACATGACTCAGTACCACAGAAGGAGGCCAGAATATGAGAGAGAAGGATTGTGCCCTATGGCCAAATGCAGGTCTTAGAATTCCAACATACAGCAGGGAGAACCCAGGGAAGGTTTTGGGGCCAGCACCACTGAGGTGGTCAAGAAAATGGAAGCTACTGCCTGCCACATCCTAGCGCTGGGAGAACGAAAGCTCCCCCAGGAAGTGGGTGTGCATTAGGTCACTTAGCACCCTGTTTGGGAAAGGCAGCTATGCCAGCGGCTAAGAATAGGGTGCTTGTCCAGAGTGCTGGGAGAAGAGGAAAAATGCGTGAGGAGAAAAACTTGCTGCATTATCTGATCATTTCATTGCAAGCTCTTTTTTTCCCTTTTTCCTCAGCTTTCTAGAGGTATAATTGACAAAATTATTAGATATTCAAAGTAGACATGATTTGAAATACCCATACTTTGTGAAAGTATTCCTGACATCAAGTTAATTAACGCATCCTTTACCTCACATGTTTACCGTTTTTTGTTTTGAATTTTCTAGTGAGTACATTTTAGTTTCACTCTCTTTGCAAATTTCGGTCATCCAATGCAGTGCGACAGAGTACGGTTATTCTGTTTTATGTTAGATCCTCTTATGGCTTTTACCAACCTCTCCCTATGCCTCCCAACCCCCAGCCCTTGGCAACTGCTTTTCTACTCTGCTTCTGAGTTCAACTTGAAAAAAAAAAAAAAAAAAAAGATTTTTCTTTAAAGGTTCCATATATAAGTGATACCATACGGTGTTTTTCTTTCTCTGTTTGGCTTATTTCACTTAGTGTAATGCCCTCCAGGTTCATCGTCCATATTGTCACAAATGACAGGCTCTCTGTAGGAGGAATTTGATATAATCATACTATCAGTATTTCTCAGCCTTGAGTAACATACAGACACTTTTTATCTCTCTGTCCAGCTATCTAGCTATTTATTTATTTAATTTATATTTTATTAACATATAATGTATTATTAGCCCCAGGGGTACAGGTCTGTGAATTGTCAGGCTTACACAATTCACAGCACTCACCATAGCACATACCCTCCCCAATGTCCATGACCCAACCACCCTCCCTTAACCCCCTCCCCCCAGCAACCCTCAGTTTGTTTTGTAAGATTTAAGAGTCTCTTATGGTTTGCCTCCCTCCCCGATCCCATCTTGTTTCATTTTTTTCCCTCCTTCCCCCCACAGCCCCCTGCCCTGCCTGTCAAATTCCTCATATCAGTGAGATCGTATGATAATTGTCTTTCTCTGATTGACTTATTTTGCTCAGCATAATACCCTCTAGTTCCATCATTGTCGTTGCAAATGACAAGATTTCATTTCTTTTCATGGCTGCATAGTATTCCATTGTATATGTATACATCTTCTTTATCCATTCATCTGTTGAAGGACATCTAGGTTCTTTCCATAGTTTGGCTATTGTGGACATTGCTGCTATAAACATTCCTGTGCATGTGCCCCTTTGGATCACTATGTTTGTTTGTTTGTTTGTTTGTTTGTTTGTTTTTAAAGATTTTATTTATTTATTTGACAGAGAGAGATCACAAGTAGGCAGAGAGGCAGGCAGAGAGAGAGGAAGGGAAGCAGGCTCTCTGCTCTGCAGGGAGCCTGC